CGTAGTTACTTGAAGCTTTTCTGGATATGTCGTATACATAGAAAAATGTCATTCTATTGTTAAGAAAAACGGCTCCTCAGTTCATTTTTCTCCTTATAAGTAACGTTATCTTCAATAAAAAGTATTTTCTTGATAATAGAAAATATACAAATTTGAGAAAAGCTCATCTCATTATATACTCAAAAGAAAAACTAATTTTCATTAAAAGAATACTAGGAAACTTTGCTGAAAAATAGATTGGTTCAACTCTGTGCAGTAGGCAGATCGAATTTTTGTTTTAATTTAACATTCTTGATTAAAGAACTTGCTAAGATTCAGAATGTATTTTGAATCAGTTTGACGCTTATATGATAAAATTATGATATGTTTGGATATACAAACTTATGAAATATTTAAAATATATATGAATAACATTTATTTGAATATATTTTTCTATGTACACGATTTGTTTCTTTATGTACACTGTATAAAAAAATATTCGATTAAAAATTATCACAAAGTTTTGTAATCTTTGATTATGCAGAAGTTATGACTGAAATTATTATATATATTTAAAAATATTTGACTTTTTATTACAAAATTTTTTTATTACAAAAACTGAAATTTATTTGAATATCTTTTTTATGTCGTATTTTTTTATTACAAAAACTGAAATTTATTTGAATATCTTTTTTATGTCATATATAATTGGCGTTAAATTTATTGTTTCCACAATAACTTATACAATATTGTTAGCGTAGTTCAACTGTACAGGAAACTTTGTAAAGTAAGACGTAATCATAACATAATTTTCGCTACAATATTTTCTCTGTGTAGACGAGAATGGCAGACAATGCAACAGTCGTTGCTTCGTGCGGATTCGGTGAAGGTGCGAGACGTGAATAGTGTTGCGCGGGAGGAGCTTACCTTTGCGGCGAGCAACCTAATCGCAATCTTGTTAGCGAGTTGGGCGAGAGCTCATAATTCGTACGCGTGTAGCGCCGCTTTATAGCATGTTTAGCGGCCTGTCAGAATACGTGATTAATTCGCGAACACGTGAGTGGAGCATGTTCGACGACGGGAAGCGCAGTTAGTCAATAATTTATGAAATTGACGTGTGAATGAGCGGCAAATGGCAAATGCCAAACCGTCGCGTCGCCGCGTGTGTGATCAATGTGACAGCTCGAGGGAAATTGCAAACCCGTACGCGACTTGCCGTTTTCGGACGCGGAAACGGACGAACGACAGCTGGCCGCGAGCTGGCCGTTAGGCGTTCAATAAATAAAACGTTAATCGGCACGTGATTCGCGGACGTTATCTTAATTATTGGCTTGCGTGCGAGCGCAAGATAAGGAGCAGCGATGATATCTCTCGGCTTGCACTCGAGTTCAAACCGCGATCCGAGCATACGATTACTGTGAACCGAACTTTCCAGGCTGCTGTGCCAGCAGCAGACCGGATGTCTCGGATGAGACGTTGCGAGGTGGGAAGTGGCGGTTTCGTGCACTGTCAAAATTTCAGGCGTGTGTTTATATCCCACGTGGTTTCCAATTATCCGCCGCCGCCGCCGCCGTCGTCGTCGTCGTCGATGCTGCGTGTGAGACTTGATTATATTATGCAGGACGTGGGATTATCTCTGCGTGCTCCATTAATGCGAAATACGTGGATCAATAGCTCGCTCGGTGCCTGCTGCCGCTGTTGCGATCGTGTCTTTGTCGTCGTCGCAAAACGAAGTCAGGCTTCACCTCCCGACGTTTCTCGCGTGTCAAACAGCTTGCTTCTTGGAATGCCGTACAGAAAAAAAGGAAAAAAATTGACACGAAGTGTACGTGTGTAATACACGTTCAATTTGTGAGGATGAAATTAGCTGCGACGCATAAAACCGAAATTATATTCGCGCTACGTCATATTAAAATAGAAAACACAACGTAGTTTCCATATGAATACAGATCTTATTGTGCCTCACGAAATGTTCTCCGGGATCTTCTATTTGCGATTCCATTCGCGAAGCGAGAAAGCTCTTGCTTCGTATGATGTTTTAGAACCACCGGGCAAGACTGCGAGCTTGCCTCCGATATCGATCCACACCATCGTTCCACTCCCTCTGGACCACACTTATTTAACGATAGCTTGCCCGCAATATCGGCTTTGCATAGTAGTGATGCGAAGCACCGGAGATGTGGTCATTGTATCACATCGAAGCTACGCATATTATCACACTGTGTGTACACGCTTAATATGCTAGTGATGCGATTAGACTAGTCGCGATAAAGAGAAAGAATAACGAGAGAGAGAGAGAGAGAGAGAGAGAGAGAGAGAGAGAGAAAGACAGAGAGAGACAGATAAATATATAGAGAGAATAGAGAAGGATAACACGCGCAGTAACGAATGAAAAATGTTTTCTTCTGCAATATCATAGAAAACACGATCGCTTCGTTGTATGAGACGCGATTGTTTACTAAGGAAAAGTCTTTGATATTTATGACTGTAATTGCACAGTGAAAGGATCATAGAATGATTTTTGTAGTGAGTGTTAATAATATACAAAGAAAAAGATTTCTTTGGATATAATCAACTTTATCTTATTCAAACAAATTTTATTATTAGAATGATTCGGAAAAGCTAATATTTCAATTAGTAAATACGACTGTTTAACTTTTCAAGAAATTTTATTATTTTGTTCAAATAATTTATTGTTTGTTTTGAAGAAGAAAATTGCTCCACTTAATTTTTTCATTTTATCAAAACAACTCGATAATTCTGTTTAAATAATTTAGCAATTTTTTGTTCGTATTACTGATTTGGCCTATTGTTTTAATACTTCATCGTGTGCACTCTTCTTTCTCTTGTTTAAATGACAATGTTTTTTCCATCAAACAACTTCATTTAGTCTAATAAAATAAACTGTGTATGATATTAAATGTAAAATTGTTTAATATAAAGTTATTTTATTTATTATTAGATCAA